ATATGGGGATCTGTGGGTTCGATCCCCATATGGGAAGACACTTTGTCGCCAATTGGGAAGACACACTCGGCGTAGTAGAAAGCGGCGTGGCTACCGTTTAAACCACTACGCAATCCGTGCGGTCGTTCGTGTGAAATTCGACGCTGTGGCACCGCTGTACGCAAGGCTGTGTCCTTAGAGAATAGCACTGCTGTTAAGTGCCTCCAGCGCCTGAGCCACCTGCGGTGGTACCTGGCCTGTGGCCGGGAGAGTTCTAAACCTCTCTCGGTCCCGCTCCGTCATTTCCTTCGCAAGCATAACTTGCTCGCAGAAGGTGACGGCGGAGTTTCGCTCACTCTCGCTCCTCACCATGGTCACAATCATGTTACCAAGCGAAAAAAATCCCACCCCGATGGCCGCCACGAGGTCACTGCTCCACCATCGCCGGGCATTCTGCCAGCGTGTGGAGCACCATGTTCACGGTACGGCCATCGCAGTGGTGGCACTCAAGCGTTGGCTCCTTGCGGATCAGACACAGGTGATCCCCGAAGCATCGTTTCTCAGTGGTCATCTGCGTCAACCGGTATGAGAGGGTCCCGTGATGCTTCTCGAGCCAATTCTCCATAACGGGTCTTACCGCCGCGATAATGGCGTGCCCGCGCAGTCCTCTCCCCCACGACATAATAGCTTTATCAGTCATTCTTCTAGTTCAATTTGTTATTTTTGCCTATAAGGGTTATACTCACGTGAGTATACTCTCACGTTTCTAATTGTTAGCACGTTTCTACACTATTTACTAAATGAAATACATGATATACTCCTGTTACACGAAAGTGAAGTCATTCCTGATTTGAAGGCTTCTGTCAGTATCGTTTTTTGCCTTAAATAAAAAATAATTTTTTTTTTAAATTAGTGTATCGTCATCGGTCCTCGATATATCTACAAAGTTTGAACGAATTCTGACCGTTTAAAGTCAGTCAAAATCACGCCCAAATTAGTCGGTTACAAACAAACGTACAAACATACAAGTGAAGCTAATATAAAGCGTGTAAAAAGGTCGAACCTTTCTCTTAGAGTTAATTAAAAGCTCTGTTATCTATACTAAAGCTAAATATCCACTATGAGAAGATAGCCTGTTTTTTTTCCTGTGCGGAAATCCTCTCGGATGTCACCCACCGGTGGAGTGATTAGGGTGGGGACTCGAAGCCGGGGAACCAGGTGGAGAAAGAAGAAGGAAATCCCTGGTACACGATAGCCTAGAGCTGGTTTCCTTGGTTGCTTTCCTTACTTAGAATAGAGTGGTATCAAACAATTAATTTACTTAATCTTTCTTTCGCCGAATATTTTTATTTCTGAATCGAATGGTCGCGACGACTGGATTTAGAAACAATCGCGTCGCCGCCCTGAAAGTGCCTCCTAAAAATTAAGAAGGATGTTAGGTGCTTCGGTAACTTCATTTACCCGGGATTTTAATAGACATGGGACAAAATCAGAGTGATCTGTGAATAACCAGTGATTTAACATTCGATTTTCGATAACGTACGGTGCGTTTTTAAGTTCGCGGAATGAGAGGGTTGGAGGGGGGTGATTAGGCTCATTAGAATCGTCACGTGTTCAGTGACTCATAATTAGTATAAATACCAGGTTTCATTATTATTAGACAATTAGTTTTTGAGTTATCGTCAACCAAGCAACATAATCGGGAGTGAAAAGTGAAACATGGAAAAAATCGAATATCGTGCCGTTTTAAAGTTCCTTACCAAGCAGGGAAAATCAGTTGCGACCATAATGAATGAGATGTCATTGGTTTACGGCGACTCTTGTCCAGGAAAAACCATGGTGTACAAATGGCACAGTTTATTTAAACAAGGAAGGGAATCCCTTGAAGACGCCCCGAGGCCGGGCAGGAGCATCGAGGTGATCACGACAGAACTTATCCAAAAAGTCGAAAAAATTGTACTGGACGATGCTCGACTAAAGAAGAAACAACTCGCAGAAATGGTTGGAGTATCTGATACAACGATTTTTTGAATTCTGCACGATCATTTTGGCATGACAAAGGTCATTGCAAGATGGGTGCCGAGAATGCTCACGCCGACGCAAAAACAACAGCGCGTAGAGTGTTCACGTGCATTTTTAGACCTTTGTAATGAAGACAAGGATGCTGTATTGAGTAGAATTGTTACTGGAGACGAAACTTGGGTTCATCATTATGAACCTGAGACGAAACAAGACTCCATGCAATGGCATAAAAAGGGCACAGCACCTCCCAAGAAGTTTAAGGTGTCACAGTCAGCTGGGAAACTCATGGCAACGGTCTTTTGGGACTCAGAAGGAATATTATTGATCGATTATAAAGATAAAGGTGTTTCTATAACCGGAGAATACTACGCTTCAAATTAGAGCGACTCAAAGAAGCCATTAAAGAGAAAAGACGGGAAAATTTGACAAAAGGTGTGTTGCTTTTGCACGACAACGCGTTGCGTTGGCTGCCCTGCATAAGGTGGGCTTCGATATTTTGAATCACCCACCGTACAGCCCAGACCTGGCCCCCAGCGATTATTACCTGTTTCCAAAAATGAAAAAAGAGCTGCGGGGTAAAAAATTTATTGAAGATAAAGAGAAAACATTTTTTATGAGGGTATAAACAAATTAATTGAAAGATCTGAAAAATGTATCCGTCTTGCAGGTGAATATATTGAAAAGGAAAAATAATAAAAACCCCCTAGTATTTCGCTTATTTAACAGTAAATCTAGTAATTATTTTATTATATTTATCTACCATTACCTACATAATAATTTAAAAAATACTAGATTTACTGTTAAATAGCGTTTAACCTACCTACCAAGGAACCCTAACCTACGTACGCCTAAAATCGAATGATAAATCACAGTTTATTAGGTATATAGTTTATTAGGTATAGGTATTTCACACACATACTCAGGTCAAGGCTGGCCCTTATGTGCTGTGCCATATTTGGCAGACCGAGGCATGGTCAAACCACTCGGAACGACTACGTACGGTAGAATAATTTATTTACTAATCAGAAAGTATCTGCAATATTTTTCCTTTCAAGAAATTAATGATTTCTGTGATTAATATTTATTTCCTAGCCCCAAGTTTAAACATTGTGTGTATACTGATTAATGAATTTCTTTGTTGTACAAGGCAGGTGATTGATTAAATCATCAATCACCTGCCTTGTACATGAACAATAGTAACCAGTCATCACCTGTGTTTATTAGGCATTCCAAAATTTATCCGTCTTTTGTTCTTGATAATCTTTAGAGATTTAGAAAGTAGAGGAGAGAGATTTTTTTCATCGAAAATTATTTATTTTTCTTTTTTATTAGTGTGATCTTCTATGAAATTCTTAATATTGTAATCAAATTCTTAAGTATGATCTTAATCTTATATCAAAGAAATCAATCTTTTTTTATGTTATTAGGTGTATTATTTCAACGGGTGTCCCAGTTTTTCGGGTTTTACTAGGGTTTCCTTGCGAGCGTATACCCAGAGCTCTGAGAATAAGTGCAAAATGTTTAATTTATTAGCTTAAGTAAGAACATAAGCACATCATCAAGAACCTTTAATAGTCCACTGCTGGACATACGCCTGGAGGAGGCTTTGGTCTATTATATCACGCTGGCAAGACGGGTTTGTTTAGGGTTTGTGTCAAATTTTCCTTCTCTTTGCAGTGCTATTGTCCAGCAAAATTTGGTCCCTTAGCCGGCTCTCACGACACCCACGGGATGAATAGGGGTGGTGACACTCCGTATAAGAATACGGAGTGTCACCACTCTAAACTTCATCCATCTTCATAGGTATTATATCTCTTATTATACATCTAATTCAATATTAACTTTTTTCGTATAACACATACATACACTAATACATATGTTAAGGGGTGGTGGGAATAGAGGCATTATGCCGACAATCACATAAGTTACTTTATTACTTTTTTTCTTTACTACTATACTACGTTACTTAAGCAATAGAGGGGGCCAGCCATCCACACGGCATATATATTTTTAAATACTTTCATATTGTAGATAAATTACACCTCTGGGTGTAATTAACACAGAACAAAAGATCCGGGCTCGTCATCCATCACACAATATTTGTTGTTGGGAATCGCCGCCTCTGACTTAGCAGTCAGGTATGCCAACCACTACTCCAACAGGCCCGTTATCAGCGTCATACAATGAATATGATTAACTATCATTAACAAAGATTTCCATTCTCCCTTGGCACAATGCGATGATTGTAAATGAGTCATAGTATTTTAGGAAGTAACCATAAACGGCGGTTGGTGAGCAAACATATTATTCTTCTCAAACAAAATTTTGTTGTGTGCTAAAGTTAAATACGGAAAATACACCGAACTTAAATTCCAAATAAACATAGTTCAGTATTGACAGACACTTTACAAAACACTTTATTTGTATTAAAATAAAGACGTAATTAAAAACATAAAACATTATCGACGGAATAAATTGGACTTAAAGATTGTACGTAACAAGTTAAATAGATTTTTTCCATTAGTGATGGAAAAAAATCCAGAAAACGCTTCAAAACAATTTAATTGTTTCTCCATTTTGAATCAATTTGGAATTCGGTATGATAGAGCCTTTAATTGCTAATATCATAAATATAAACACTTAGGCCCATATCCCGAAAGGGCCAGACTGTCGTCACATATTATTAACTATAATTTTAGTCCGATTTTCGTAATAGGGGCAAGATTATACGAGTAAGCTTAATCCCCCCAACCGGACACCTAAAGATTTAGATGAGTAAACTACATATTTGAGTAACAACAACACTAATACTTACAAATCAATAAGTAAGAAAGGAGATATGAATCCTTCGATGGTGGTTATAATAATAAAATAATTATAAATCGACAAATATTGTTTTATTTAGAAATACTCAATGAACAGTACTACTGGTTTAAATTACTTATACTAAATTAACTATTCTCTAGAAACCAAATTGACGTTTATTCAAGTCAATAAATTTAAAAATTAAAAAACTCATCTTCATCATAAACTTTATTTTCAGTTTCTGGATCTTTAAGTGAAGACAACTTAAAGCCTTTGCCTTCCATTTGGTCCAACTTTGGTAATATATCTTTTTTTAACTTTTCTTCTACATCAATTTTATCTAATTCCTGTTGCATTCTTTCTTTGATAGGACCTTCAATGGCATCCATTATCTGATATCTGAGTAGATTTGGGAGAATGTTTACCACGAATTCAATAACGTAATCTATAGTACCAGCTCCGTTCCAACGAACCTGAATATTGCCTATCTCTAAATCGATCCCTTTGAAAATGGGTTTCTCTCTAGTATCCAGTGGCTGACCCAATATTATTCTAGCACTAATATATTCCACTGAGAACGATGCCGTGCCAGCCCTTGACATAAGTCCTCCTATAGCTGATATATCCCACTGTGTTCTACCCTCAAGTTTTTGAGTGCCAATTTCGAAATCTGCTATTGCAGTGTGGTTCTCCATTTTTAGTGTAATATTGCCGACCCTTTGAAACGAGGATATACCAGTGACCCATGTATTAGAAAGTGAAACTGTGAATATGCTTACTGTTGTGTTATAATCTTTAATCTGATAAGGATCTAATTCCATATCTCTCACTTTTTTCCTAACATCAATGATCACCATATCTAGAGGTGAAATGGAGTTTGGGAACTGCATATCACCAGCTACTTCGTCCAGTTTTGCATTAATTTCGGCTCTGGCTTTAGTGTATGCCTCTTTAAGAACGTACGGTTTGATGGAGTCGAATATAACATTTCCCACGGTATTGATAATGCCTTGGAACATTCCACCAAAGAAGCCTAAATTTTCAAAATTGACAGCAATCGTGTTAAATCCAAGATCGATAACTATATCTTGTGCTCGAAGTTTTCCATCTCGTTCTACACCGAGGTTTGCTCTGGCCGTAATCTTCAACCCAGAGATATCGACAGTGAATGGTCCTTGGGCCCTGTTCAGCCAAGTAGACAAGGTGTAATTGCCTCGAGCTTGTAATGTATCAATACTCATCGCAGCTTGTACCTGTAATGTAAATTAAAAAAATGACAATTACATATATTTATAGATTTGTACAAATAAACATGAATAAGTATTGTATTTACACAAGAAAAAAACTCTTTTAAGTCCCTTGCATGCTCTTTGTATGCTCTCTGTTGGCATGTTTTTTGACTTCTACTACGTCCAGGACAAATACCTAGTCCATACTTTTTTTTTTTTTTATAAAGACAAGACAGAAGTGGCGTGGCGACCGCTTAAACCACTACGCCATCCGTGTAGTCATAGTAATATTATAAAGTCATACTAATATTATAAATGCGAAAGTGTGTCTTCCTGTCTGTCTGTCATCTCTTCACGTCTTAACCGCGAAACCGATTTAGATGAAATTTGGTATAGAGATAGGCGGAGTCTCGGGAAAGGACATAGGATAGTTTTTATCTCAGAAATCATCCTTGAAGGAGGTGAAATATGGGGAAACAATACCCACTGAACCGACTTAGATGAAATTTGGTTTGAAGATACTTTGATTCATGAGAAAGAACATAGGCGATAACTTACATACACGAGGCCGGAGCCGCGGGCTTAAGCTAGTGATTTACATTTATCATATTGATCATATTTTGAACTCTAATTTACTTTCTACTTTTATAGACATATTCATTTATTCCGCACTTTACAGGAGTCATTTTATTGTTTCTTAGACACGCTAAGTCAAGATTACTGTAGAAAATGAGTTTGAGTGGATCCATAAAACAGCCAAAACCAATATGAAAACAAGAATTCATTCTAATTAATGTTCCCGTATCTTACGAGAGATTTAAACCTTTTTATTATAAATAACGTACATGTAAGAACACGACAGAAATTGTATAAAGTCAAATATATAGAAATAGAGAAAAGCCAAAGATATTTGAAGTTTCATCTGATTAAGGGGAATCTTCAAGAGACTCATGTGAAGACATCATGTAATTTTATGTACAATTTTAAAAGTTCTATTCGTCTATAAATAAAATTTGTTTTCAATTACCAGACTGTTATTTGAACCCTGTGAACACACTTATTTCCTGGGAGAGATCTAGCGAGTGTGTGTACATTAAAAAGTGCTACTGTACTGATCGAAGTAATACCTCTGTACTCTACTGTATTATACAGATAGAAGTGTACTATTCTATTGCAACTATTTTAAAATTAAAAACCAATTACCTCCATAGTACCGATTTCGGCATTCACGTACAAAATACGAAACTTGCTAATACCGTAAACAGCTGTGTTCTTGAAATACATTGTTCCCAAGCTGAGGGGCTGCTTCATGTCCGGGACTGGGTAAGGATCTGGTATCTGAGCCCCTGGAAGACCCACAGGGTCGCGTTGTTTAAAGTGCTCCAAAATAGACAGTAAATTGTCACTGAGCTTTTTTTCTCCTTCCAGTATTCTTGTGTTTTCTGACGAGTCCTCGAAAGATTCATCTGGAAATTTTTATGTATTTGTTTTTAGTAACTAATTTAACCGTTCTAATAATGTTTCATAGTATTTAAGTACTAGTGACAATAATTTAAGGAAAGGAAATAGAAAAATATATTTAAAGTCAGATATTAATCCATACTAATATTATAAATGCGAAAGTGTCTCTTTCTGTCTGTTGCCTCTTCAAGCTTGTAATGTTATATAGTTAGGTATATCTTATCTTACTAACATGATGTAGATTTTTTATGGAATAGGGGAGATAACGAGCGGTCAGGTCACCTGATGATAAGTGACTACCACCACCCATGAACAGTTGCGACTCAAGAGTCGGAAGTGCGTTTACACCATAGAGAGGGTACAGCTGCCTGTAAGTGGAAGCGATATCGGCAACGAGAGAGATGGATACCCGATAGTTATCCATCTCTCTCGTTGTCTATATTGCAAGATTGGGGCTCTTGTTCCCTCTAGGTTATATCTCTATGGTTGATACAACTTAAATCGCTCCTAGAATCAGGTGGAGAGAAGGTTTGCGTTCTAGTAACCTCATTCCCTGGGTTAAAACAGCTTCAGAAAGGCTTAACACGGGTTTTCTGCGAGGCCGTGGTGTCAGCCCGGTCGAGCCAGTTCTCGGCCAAGCATACTTTTCCCACAACGAAATGTATTTATTACTATGTACTTATTATTGTTAACAATTATATTTTAGGGCATTCGTACTTTCATCCGTGTGGTGCCGAATTAAAAATACGGAGTGTCACCACCCCTATTCATCCGGTTGTCGTAAGAGCCGACTAAGGGAGCACTATATAGGACAACAGCACCGCCAAGAGAAGGAAAACTTGATACAAACTATTTCAACCCGTCTGGACAGTGTGGTATAAGTGGCCTTTTTTTTTTAACGTGTGGAACGTTCGGCGGGGCGGTTTGTCGGACTCGAACCGACTAAAACCACACGGTGTGCCCTCTTTGCGCTTTCAGTTTAGGAGGGGTCCAGGTAGTTATCGCCTTCTGGACCCCTCCCAGCGCCGGCCCGCTCCTGGCGCGGGCTCCGTCTCAAGGACCTCTCTTTAGGCGACGTCCGGCACACGCGGAAGCCGCCAACTCGCGGCTGGCCAAACGAATGCGGGTGGAGGGGAGAACCCATCCCGTCCACCCGCGGCCACACTCAGGGCGGCAAGAGGCGCAGATGAGCGCGCCTCCTCCGCCCGGTTCGCCGGCGGCGGATCGGGTCCGAGTGGAGGTCGTCCTCCCGGGCCTTCTCCGCCACCTCTTTCTGCGAGATTACTTGCTCGCAGAAGGTTGCGACCGAGCCTACTCGAACCTCCTTTCTAAGGAGAGGCCTATGTCCAGCAGTGGATTATAAAAGGCTGATGATGATGAGTACATCATCATCAGCCTGACGTCACTTCCTGTAAAGTACAGGAAGTGACGTCATAACAATACGATTTATGCATATATATCGAATCATAAAAATCGTAATAATTACGATTTCTTTGTATCGAACGATATCAATGAACCGATTGTACCTACATATAATTAGTCACATACTTTTGTGCCTATATTGTTCTTAATGTGCTATCACTTATATATTATCAGATTAATAAACAGATGCACATCATTTCGCACAAACAAGAACATCGTAATCATATCCTACTACTCAGATTACATTTGCACGTCTCACGTGTTGTTTTTCAAGTGAAATAAGTGCACCTTAACATATCCGTATTTTATCTCATATTGACATTATACAAGAAGCACTTGACAATTAGAAAAAATATGTGACACCCGTTAGAGATTTGACATAAAACACCTTTTTGACAAACGAATTCACTGACAGGTAAAACTTTTAAAAAGGAACGCACCTTGACAAAACACTGTTAGAAAAGCACAGCACAAAACCACTATTTTCAACCTCATCCTGTTTTATAAACGTTAAAATACAGATCTACTCTCGTCCAGGATCGAGTAATGAATGACTGACAGCCCCGCTCCCGAGTCAGGGGTCATATTTATCGTCACTTCGTTATCTTTAGTTTGTACGCATTATAAGCTGCTGGTATTGAAATTCCTGGTATTGTTTTTTTTTACATTCATCTTCTAACGAGTCCCTCTTTAAGACCGCTCGTTAAATGGTCGTTATTTACTATATAATGTATTTGTCAATAGGAGTTATTTTTATTGCAATGTGTCTTAAAAAGTCGAGACTAATTTATTATCTTTTTCTTTATTATCTTAGTTATAAAGCAGAACTGTTATCAACCAAATAATTTTCTCATCAGTAAAATATTACTCTAGTTATATCTTAAATTTTAACTTATATTTTTTTCACATTATGGAGTCATAGATGTTTACAAGAATATTAAGAACAAGTAAAGCAGTGGCCTTGAAAAGATCCAAATCAAAATTTCTGGCACTTCACAATTCGCTATAGACTAGCTTAGATTTCAAAAAGCGTACGCTAAAACCTTATTGGAAAAGAAGTCTAAAATATAAATAAGAAAGGGACAGCCTGTGCCTACATCAATTACATCTGATGATGTAATGCAGTGGATTATTAAAGGTTTTTGATGTGATCATCAACAACCTTTAATAATCCACTGCTGGACATAGGCCTCTCCTTATAAAGAAAAAAAATGAGGTTTTGACCTACTATACTACGCTGGCCAGACGGGTTGGTATAGGGTTTATGTCAAGTATTCCTTCTTTGCAGTGCTGTTCTCCTGCGTATCAGTTCAGTTATCAATTACTTCTCTTGATTACGTTTTTCTCCTATTAATTATTCTTTTTGAAGACTTTTTTGTACGTATCGTTCTGTAAACGAGCAAACGTATTAGCTGAAGGTAAATGACTACCACCGCTCATGCACTCATGAAACTCAAGAGTCCATGTTACTATACTCTAATAGAGTATGCTCAAGAAACACAAGCTTTAATTACTTAGCGCCATCTAGTTGCCTTAACTGTAAACCAAGGAAAAATATTCTTACGATACAAGTTGGCTTGATGTCATTATCAGCATGCGTAGATGCTTAAAATTGATATATAGTTTAAGAAAGAGATGGCGCTTTTACAAAATTACGTTCAAGTAAAAGGTAAGTGGCCTTTTTATTCTAAAACTAGCAAATGCCCGCGGCTTCGTTCGCGTAATTATTTGGTTGTAACTTTGAAAATTACGGACTGCCGTCCAACCGTCCATCCCTTATTTTACCCCTTTAGGGAAAAAAAATCCAAAAATCCTTTCTGTAGGTGCTTACAATATAAATAACATGAGCTGCCAAAGGACAATGGCAGGTATAAATGGGACTTTTGTACCTCCTTGCGTATCTCATGGTAGGGATTATTGTTGTATTTATTTGGCTGCTAAAATTATAAACAGTTGTAATTACCTGATTATTAGAACTTTGCGTTCAAAAGTAATTTTAGTACGTAATTTGCATATAAGCTGTACTGAAGTCCATACCAATGACAGCTGGCTGTCACAAATTAGTTGTCATTACTGTCAACTAGTTAACATATTTTTTTGATCTGTCAATAAAATGATCCCGTGTCAAATCAGTTTAATGACATTTTTTAAATAATGTTCACGATTAATCTAGTCGATTTGAATAAAAGTTATTAGTACCTTTCCTTAAATTAATTGATTTTAAATATTCGTTCCTTTATTACTTCGTCTTAACTGTACAATCAATATTATTAATAAAGAACTGTTTGTTTTTAACTGCTAAATACAGTTGTCATTGATCTCGATGTAAACATATCGTTTTTATGTAATTTCTATTTTATGCATAGCAAGTTTAGTAAACTTAGGAATACGTTTTGTTAACAACACTAGAACGTTTAGTTATTGCAGTTGTAACAATTATTTGAGAAGAATTTATTTACTTTTACAAAGTTCTAAAAATATGATAATTATATGAAAATAATTAGGGTGATTCATTTCATTATCATCCATTATTTATTATTAGGGGCACAGGATGTGACGATCTGCCGTTCTCCTTTCAAGTATATATGTAGCCCTTATGTAAACTATAAGGGCTACATATATACTTGAAAGGCTCTGCGTTAAAGAAAAGGTCAGTCAGGGCCGTCAGGGCAAATAATTTATATGTATATAGATATAGGCAAATTAATAATATTATATTTTCTGCTTTATTAATAAACAAACAGACTGCACAGACTTTTTAAGTGGTCGCCACGACGCCCACTACTACGCTAAGTGTTGTGGGTCCGATCCCTGCATGGGATGACAATTTGTGTGATCCACAAAGTGTTCTTTGTGTCCGTTTCATCTGTACTTGTAAAGTCACCTACGACACAGGATAAAAGTATTCCTAACGCGGTAGTTGACTTTTAAAAATGAATAAATGAATGAATTATGGGATAAAACGATCTTGCACAAAAAAGTTAAGCATATTAACTATTTCAATCGAAAACACCACTATAGGATAGCTGGACTTTATGCATATTTATATATATATATATATAGTTTTTTTTTAGTCAGAGTAGATAACAGTATTCATCATCTTTGAGGCTGTCCAGTATATTTTCAGGGGCACAGCGAAAGGACTGCGATTATTAATATTATTACTGTACGCAGTTTCTGTTCTATTATTACTATGATTAAATGATACTTACTTCCATAAGTAAACCTTTTGCAGATATTTTTACAAGACGGACTTAACAACAAGAAGTAGCCGGCATTTCCTTAGATTCACACTGAGAAGAAACGCCGAAACAAACCACAGAGGTGTCTTTTTTAGTCCGTTAACAAAATTAAAGAAAACTGTGCGATTACAGTATAGGATCTGGGTAGGCGTTTTAAAGAAAGAACCATAGTTTTGAGTCGGCCTTTCCATATAGACGGCATACGGGCCCTAGCCATCTTGTAGCCTAACCGATACAGGTCAAGATCAATGACCCGAAACACGACTTTAAATCATCAGAAAGTTACTAAATATATGAACTAACGTTACAGGCTACACTATACTCCCATTTACATACTTACACAAAATCCTTATTTAGGATTGAATTCATCTACGAACAACCAACTAAATCCTAGCCACTACGCCGCGCTATCGTCGTTTTTTTTTCTGAAAACAATCTTAAGGACATAATACACTTTAGGTAAAAATATAAAACCCAACAATATATTTGCATCATCATCAACAGTCTTTCATAGTCCACTACTGGATGGCATAGGGTTTACACTTATAGGGTGTATAGGTACACACTTTGTATTTGCACCGTGGGTACACATAAATAAATGACTGCTACGTCTGAATACGTCACGACAAGACTTTTACTCCTCGAATACTCCCATAAAAACTAATTAGGCATCTTCTCGAAATGGATGAAACGGTTCGATTTGGAAAATTATTTTAGTGTTGGATAGCCTATTCATCGAGGAAGGCTATAGGATCTATACAAAAGGAGCAGATCATCGTGGAAAATATTGCAAAAGCTGGGAAAAAGTATTCCTTTCGAGGGGCGTAGACGAAGTTGCGCGGGTCAGCTAGTCTATACAAATAAATAAAATTGGAGTGTCTGTTTGTAACCTCCTTTCTAAGGAGAGGCCTATGTCCAGCAGTGGACTAGTATAGGCTGCTGATGATGATGATGTTTGTAATATTAAAATAACCGCTTTTTACTAAATGCATATGTATGTTTATAGGGTACATTTGCCAAAATAACATTTTTTTAAATTTTCGTCTGTCTGTCTGTCTGTTTGTTCCGGGTAATCTTCTAAACGCCTGGACCGATGTTGATAATATTTTACTACCAGGTAACTGTCTATGTAAGGAGTAACTTAGGCTATTTTTCCTCTCAGAAACACCCTTTAAAACTTTCCACCTATTTATTAATATTTTGCAAATTAAAACTTGAAACGATATACGAGGGCTGCTATTTATGTATCCGGAAAAACAAAGTGAAACAAACAAATAGCATTTATTATAGTTTTATTGCTTTTCAAAATATTCGCCGAGATGATCGATGCACTTTTGCATACGATGGAACCAATTTCATAGCACTTTTTCCATTCTGATTGTAGTAAATCCAAAGCGCGCATTTTGAACGCATCAACAGCCTCTACACGGCTCGAAAAACGTTGACCACGTAATTTATTCTGCACGGTTGGGAATAAATGGAAGTCGTTGGCCAAGTCAGGGCTGTCGATCTTTAAATGTTCCAAATACTGAGTTGTTTCGGCCGTTGTGTGGCAGATAGCATTGTCATGCTGAAGAAGGATTCTGCGTTATCGGTTATTCTTTCTCATTTCTTCAAAGACTCCTGGCAAACAAATGGTCGTGTACTATTCAGAATTAACCGTTTCACGATCTTCTAGTGGCACTGTAGCTACATGTCCATTTATACCAAAAAAAGAAGCGACCATTTGCTTTAAAGTGCTTTTTTAAGTGAATGACTTTTGATGGGTTCGGCTCATTTTGGAACACCAAACCGATGATTGTTTTTTAGTTTCAGGATCATACGCATATATCCGAGATTCATCACCTGTGCAGATATAACCTGACGCACCCTGATTGTACTTTTGTAACAATTTTTTTTTTCACGAATCGACACGAGCCCGTTTTTGGCCAATTCTCAAGTTTTTTTAAGCACAGACCGCCCTCGATTAATCTCACTAAACCAGTGATACACAGTTGTTTTTGATGGTGCTTCGTCCCCAAAAGTCGAAGTGAGTGTGAGTTCACTGTTTTTGAGTTAGCCCTCACCGAAAATCGTAATAAATCATAGCACGAAAATTTTCACGAGTTAAATCCATAGTGATAAAGACACGCAACAAAGTAAAAACAAATGACAGCTACAAGAAACAAATTGTATTCTTCAACCAAAGAGTTTCATTTTTGAATGTTATAATTACATTTTTAATATTGTTCTGTAACTGACAGTTACGGATAC